CATAGTAGGATTCAGTGGCGAAACCAAAAACACCATTGGAGAGATCAAACTACCAGTATACATAGAGGGAGTTAACTATATCCAACATTTTTGTGTATTTGATTCTTTGTCTTGATATAATATTATCTTAGGCAGACCCTGGATCTACGACATGAAAGTCGCCACCTCAACTTACCATCAATGTGTGAAGATGCCAACGCCATGGGGAATAGTCAAGATCAATAGCAAGCAACAAGAAGCTAAAGATTGCTATACCACTTCAACGAAAAACCCAACCAATCCTAGGCAAGCATAGTAATTAAAGAAAACGGAACGAGACGTTCTGGAAGCCAAGGAAAACAAAGTGAAAGAAGTCTTACTAGATCCTGAAGATCCTGACATCAAAGTGGCACTGTTGACCATACTTCATGCTCTCAAACATATTTTCTGTAAATTAAGTGGCACTGTTGACCATGGCCTTCAAATTCACGTGACTCCCACATCGGATCTCGTTTCTTATTCAGATGATGATTAGGGCAGTTGCCCAACCACTACACGATCCATTTCCGACTATTATGTATTTATAAGACACAAACACTCTGGGGTTGATTTGTGTGTTTCGCGTCTTGTCTTCAGCTTAGTATGTCGGCATATTTACCAAAGGATTATCCACGACACTGTTTTACGATCTCTGATGCAGATGAAACGTTCGAATATCTCCTCATATATTAGTTTTTTTTTCTTTTTGAACAGCCACATATTATAAAAAGAAAACTAGCAAAAGCTAGTGAACAAAAACCAATTACAAAGAGTCATATAAAAGGGGATTTCGCAACCACTGGGTCCAAGATATATTACTTTTGCTATTTCTACTAGAGAACCAATTGAAAGAATGAATGACAATGCTTTCAAAAATATGATTTTTCCGCATGTTGTACGTCTTGAACACTTCACTATTCCTGTAAGCCCAAATAACCCAGATCGTGGTATTGATAATAACTTCAAGCTTTCGTTTTTTTTTAGACTTGAAGGAATGCCATCCATCCAATCCAATATCTCAGCAATATTTGCAAACAAAGGAAAAGGGAGATCAAGCCACTTAAACACTTTATTCCAAATTTCCTTTGCCACGTCACAATTGACAAACACATGACTACAGACTTCTATCTGAGTAGAGCATAAAGGACAAAGCACCGAGATCATGTCAACACCCCTACAAGCCAAATTATAACGAGTGGGAAGTCTATCAAGAATAATTCTCCAAAGATGAATATTAACTTTGATAGGCACTAGCCTACACCATCTCGTCTGAATCATGTCTTCCTGCAACAAAATCGAATCAATATATTTTCTAGTGTTATTAACAGTAAAGCATTCATCTGGATCAACACCCCACTCCCAACTATCTGCCTGATCGACGCACGTAACATGAGAAAGAACTATGGTCAAGGCCGAGAACTGAGAGGTCGTGCTTCCACTATCACGTAATTGACGACTCCATCTCCAAAGCCAACCACTTGCATTCCATCTATCTGCCTCCGAACAATCTTTCTCCTCTTCCAATGCAAAAAGTCTAGGAAAATGAGAAGAAAGCCTCACATTATCAATCCAAATGTCCTTCCAAAAACGAGTATTTCATCAATTACCAACTTTTCTAATATAAAAAGAGTGTGGAACAATATTAAGAGAATCGAGCTTATCATAAAGCTTCATGAGATTAGACCAAACCCCCCCCTCCTTTTGGTTTTGAAGAAGACTCACCCAACCCACCATGCATTCCATGAATGTTATGGATCACCTTAACCCAAAGTGCGTGGTTTTCATTGTAGAAACGCCATCTCCACTTTAAAAGCAAAGCCAAATTAAAAGCTTTTAAACTGCCGATATCCAGTCCACCTTTATCCTTAGAATTTAAAACTTGGTTCCATTTAACCCAATAGATCTTTCTCTCTATACTACTACCACCCCAAAAAAATCGAGAACGTAAAGACTCAAGATAAGAATTCACAAAATCCGGCATTTTAAATACAGACATGTAATAAATCCCAATGCTATTAAGGATAGACTTTATTAATGTAAGCCTACCACCCACAGAAATCAAGTTCACCTTCCAACTTGACAAACACTTATCAAATTTTTGAATGACCTTATTCCAATTATCAACACGATTCATGTTTGCACCTACTGGTAACCCAAGGTAAGAAAAGGGTAGACTTGCAGGCGCACATCCGGTGATAACAGCCATCTCTTCCACTTGTTGAAAAGAAACACCAATACCAAGAAGGTTAGATTTCTGGAGATTCAATTTAAGACCTGACACCAAATAAAAACAATTGAGAATAGTAACCAGATTTGCAATATTTTGTTCATCCCACTCTCCCAAAAATAATGCGTCATCAGCATACAAAAGATGAGACACAACAAAACCTCCGTCTCCAATCAATGCTCCCCGAAAAACACCTTGGTTCACAGCATCCTCTATCGCTACATGCAGACCTCCATGACGAGAATAAAAAGGAAGGGGGATAAAGGGTCACCTTGACGAAGGCCTCTCTGAGGAGAGAACTCCTTTGTGGGGCTTCCATTGATAAGAATTGAAGTACGAGACGACACCAAACAAGCTTTAATCCATTGAATCCATTTATGATCAAACCCCATGAAAGACATAATTTGATATAAATACTCCCAACTCACTGAGTCGTATGCCTTATCAAAATCCACTTTAAGGATCATTAAGTTCTTCTTTTTCTTTTATACCACTGAATAATCTCGTTCACCATCAATGGACCACCAAGGATTTGTTTGCCTTTAACAAAAGCAGAATGCACATGATTCACAAGATCATCAATCACCAGTGTCAATCTATTTGCAAGAAGCTTTGCAATAATTTTGTATTGCACACCAATTAAACTGATCGGTCTATAATCATTGCAGTTCAAAGGACTATCTCTTTTTGGGATTAAAGTGAGAAAAGATGAGTTGCATCCATTTGGGATCATGCTCGTGTCAAATAATTCATCAACAAAATTACAGATATCTGTCTTCATGAGATCCCAAAACTTTTTTATAAAACGGAAAGAAAAACCATCGGGACCAGGAGCCTTATCACTACCACATGACCAGATAGCAGCGCGAATTTCATCTTCAGTAAACCTCGCAACCAACATCTCCTTAAAGCCCGAGGAGAGTTGTCTGATCCGAGAGTTTGGGTGAGGGGAAAAAACACCCGAAAAAACTTTTGATTTTCCTTTATAGAACCGTAAAAATTGATCCTTGACATTAACAGGATCAACAACCCAAGAACCGTCAACCAGTAAGCCCGAAATAACCAACTTTCTTCTTTTTATTTTAAGCATGCTATGAAAAAAATTTGAATTCTCATCTCCGTCTACACCCCATTTTTTCTTTAATTTTTGAGCCGCATCCAATCCTTCAATCTTTTCTAAATCCGTTAATTGTTTTAGCACATCAATTATCGTTGAGGCAATATCACCATCATGTCTACCCCCATCCAGCAGTGAGTCAATATCATCTAGTTTTGACAAGAGATCTTTTTTCAAACCATTGTTTTTAATAATTACCCCCTTATGCCACACCTTCAATCTCTCTTTTAAATTTTTAAGTTTATTTTTAAAAGCCAAGAACTTACTATTCTCTAACGACATATGATCGTTCAACCAAGCATCCCTAACTGTGTCTTCAAATCCTTCAAGCATAAACCAAGAATGAAAAATCTTAAACGGTATGGGACCATAATCAAATTTTTCATTCTTTAACACAATGGGGCTATGATCCGACCAAAGTCTATCAAGAACCACACCAACCATGTTGGGAAACCAATCCATAACACCATTAGAAACAAGGATTCTATCTAGTCTGGCCATTTTTAAGCACAAACGATCCACCCTAGTGAACCGCGTCCCTCCTAAATGCACATCCAGAAGATCTGTATTTATCAAAAACTGGTTAAAATCATCAGATTCGTTTTGACAGAAAGCTGTCCCACTTCTTTCATTGGAATTTCGAACAACATTGAAGTCACCAAATACAATATACTTACCATTAATATGTGACATAAAAGAACGAATATATTCCCAAATCATTTTCTTATTTTGTCTTCCTTGTGGAGCATAAACATTAACCAAAAAACAAATAGAACGAGACGCAACCACCTCCCCTTTCACAATTAGAACGTTACTCGTAGACCAAGTTTTATGTTCTAAAAAAACTGCAGGATCCCAAATGGTGAGAATACCTCCAGAACGTCCTTGTGCACTGCTACTAGCAACCTGGAATTGATAATTACCCCATAAAGATTTCACCAAGAAGATGTCCAACCTGGTTAATTTCGACTCCTGAATACCCAACACACTAATACAATGTTCCATGCAAAGTTTTTTTATCCACCCTCTCTTATTGTGGCATTTGACACCACATAAATTAATTGACATAATATTCATTTAAAACCAATGTGTTCTCCTTTCCTTTCAATCATACGAGCCAAATCTTCCTTACACCCTTTGAAATCATAACCCAGGACTTTACCAAATTTAATATAGTTTTCCATAACTTCCATAAGAGACCCCACACTAACTTGTTTTTCCTTATATTTTAAATTATTAACTTTGATATATGAAGCCGAGAATGTTTGTTCTGAAGGGACTGACTTCGAATTTTCTGGCGAGTGGAATTTAACACCATTGAATCCAGGTGGAGCAGATAAAGACCCTGAACTATGACAATTTTCATCCACCCTAGATCCATCCCTTTTTTCTCCAACATCGCCTTTTTCTCCAACATCGCCTGTACCAACACCAATAACCCCAACATGTTCAGTTTTTTCCATAAGAGAAGGTACTGACTCTTCCGGATTGAGACCACGGTCGTCATCGATGACATTTCCTTTGTTAGGAATCGACTTTTTTGAATTAACCGACGCACTAACTGGATCCTTATTACAAAACTCTTGGTCACTTGAAACATTCTCAATAATACCGTCTTTCAACCCAACAAACTTATCATTATAAAAAAACTGGATCATCAGGTAGGAATTGATTCATCCCGTCATCGTTTTTTTCATTTTCTGACTCTTCATCTATGCTCTCCGCATCTTCATCGTCACTTAAATCATTCTCTTCTTTTTGAGCTTCCCCGTCATTTATAGCATCATCTTTAGGCTTCTTTATTTCCGGGCACCATAAAGCAATTTCACAGACTTGAATAGCATAAGATTTGCCTTCAATATCAACAATTGGATTATCGTTAATGAAGTCTAATAGAAAAGTACCCACACAAACCTTCCCACTACTTAATTGCTCATCAAGATCCTCATCAGCAAACAACACCTTGTCATACATCCCTGCAATCTTCTTATAAGCTGTAATAGACCATGCATAGAGTGGGAGACCCTAAATCTCTAGCCAAACTGCTCTTTCCTTCACAACAAAAGACTTGGAAACCGGAATCACCTCATAAAAATATTTCTTAATCCCATCATGTTGTTTAAATTGAACACATGTAGTTGACGCCATAAACTGGAACCACACCCATCTGCCTCCCACATATTTAATTTCTACCTCTTCAAAACCTTCAACACTACATAAACTGTAAAGCTGAGGGATAATAGAAGCATCTTTTACCTTGCCCAGGACAATCTTTGTAGAATCATCTATAGTCATAAAATCCCCTGCAGCAAGAGAAATTTTTTTTGTTGTTTTTGCTTTCTCTTGTTTCTTTTCACCATTAGAGCCTCTAAGAATGTTGGCATATGAGTTTCTATGTACCTATTCAGCCCCAATTCCATGGTTATTACGCTTTTTTCCAGGTTCGTGAACTTGATTATCTCCGGTGGGTTTAGGAATATTTTTATGGTCTCTCTTGAATCTTGCGAACGAAACAAACAGATGATAATTGCCTACCCAGACCCCACCAAGTGACACCTCCAGTCTTTTCTCATCTTTTATGTTCAAAAATCTCACAAACGCAAACTTTCTCCCTGACTTGGACAACTTCCTGGCAATATATATGTCAGCGACCTTGGCATATTCATCAAACAACTTCCACAGATCCCTTTCATTCAAATTATTTGGGAAATTTGTGACAAAAAACGAGGCAGCTAATCTTTCAATTTCCCTCTGATTAGGGTTAATCAAAGTCCCATTTGATTTATTAGTTCTAATGTTCCACTCGTGATGATCGTGGAACGTCATCCTTGTGCATAATTCAGCAGAAGATGGGATTAAACGAAGGATGAGAAAACAGGGTCGATCCGGCGTTTGAACCCGCCGGAGAGCACCGCCGCATCCGCCGCAGGATAGAAGTAAGCAGCTATTTTGAATTCACACAATGGTATCTCCTCATATATTAGTGTATGCCCATGTACTACAGCCCATGTTGTATCGCCCAAGGGCATTGTTTTATGTATTTATACGTGTGATGTATAAGGTATTATTAGGAAGGCAATGAAATACCATTTAATTATAATTCAAGTTTACGTGTTAACCAGTGGTGAGATGGAGGAATCGTGTGACCATCTTTTTTTATATGCACATTTCATATGGAGATCTGTTAAAACTATTAATGTAATTGCCCATTTGGGAATGCAACTTGCTTGATTTAATTAATAAAAAAACTCCTCTTTCAACAAACATGACAATGTTTATATAAGAGAAAATGACTTAAAAAGGTAACGAAGTTTCAAAAATGTACAAAAAAGACCATTGTTTTTTTTAGTACACAAAATACCATTTTACCGGCTATTGTAGGTTACCCGGTTTCCAAGTGTTCAAAAAATACCATTGTTGTTTTTTTAGTACAAAAAATACCATTAATGTTACTATTTGTACACAGAATACCAACGAAGTACACATATGTTCAACTAAAACATTGTGATAACCAGGTACTTCAGGTAAATGAGAAAATGACTTAAAAGTGTAACGAAGTTGCAAAATGTTTAAAAAATATCACACTTTTTGTTAACTGTGTTGTTGTCGGATTATATAGAACACAATTACCGGGGATCATGAACCGTAATATCAGTTCACAACAATTGTGCAAATCTCTTTCATTCCTTCACTCGATCGTTCTTGTGGTAACAAGAGAAGTAAGTGGGTAATAACATTAGTTAAACATTCTTGCTTCCCGATCATATTATATGACTCAAACCTAAAACATATATACGTTATATAGATGCACATATTATACATCAAGGTTAGCCGTTCATTAGTGTTGCGGCACAAGAGAGACACAAAGGAGAAACGAGTGTGACGTTATGTCATGAGAATTCATAAATATGGATTTAGATACAAACTGATTGAGTGATAGGATGAAAGATAGTACACAACTGATGTGAACTGGTACGACGGTGACTAATCTCCGATGACTATGTTCTATATAATCCGGAAACAACGAAGTTAACAAAAGGTGCTCTGAAAAAACAACAATGGTTTTTTTTGAACATTTTGGAAATTTCAATGGTATTTTTTATACTAAAAAAATAATGGTATTTTTTGAACAAATTTGAGACTTTGTTATATTTTTAAGACATTTTTCTGTTACCTGCAGTAACAGGTTACCCACAAGACTTTATTTGAACACATGTATACTTCATTGGTATTTTGTGTATTAAAAATATACTTTAATGGTATTTTGTGTACTAGAAAAAAAAACAATGGTCTTTTTTGTACATTTTTGAAACTTCATTGCCTTTTTAAGTCATTTTCCCTTTATATAAAACCATTTTTTAAACATGTTTTAAAGGGTTTTCGCAAGCCACAAGCGGGGAATCTAATGATGTGTGCGCCACCGTATATTTTAAAGGATGTTCGGAATATTTAATCTATTTTGTGTTCTTGGGTTTTGAAAATTGGTTCTTTTTCTTTTTTCTTTTAATGCGATTTTTTTTAATACATCTACATTTAGATACCAATAGTGATTTTTCATATGATAAGAGCCAATGTGATGTGTTTTTCATATGATAGTGATTTTTGGTTTTTTAAACAATAGTGATTTTTCATATGATAAGAGCCAATGTGATCTGTTTTTCATTTAATTTATTTAATCAGAAAATAATTTCATTTGGTAAGATATATATAAATTTATCTGATATAAAACAACTTAATAAGAAAGTGAGGAAAATGAAGACCTTCTAGTAAATAAAAAAAATTTACAAAATTTTCATCTATCTATTTCTTCTTCCTATTTCTATGTGTTGTTGGTTATATATTCTTTTAGTAAATTACAAATTTTTTTCATATATTTTATTCAAAAAATTGTAATTTAGCCCATTTTCTTGATATCTTTCGGAAACCATCTTTTAGAGTTGTATTTTTGTTGCAGATTGTGCAATGACGGATTCATGATTCAAAGTTCAAACATATGCTCGACTGGAATGCAGTAACAAAATAGACGGATCAGAAAAAAATAAACATGTGTTCATGTGTGCATGAGTATTTGTATTAGTCTATACGATGTATATTAATTAATGTTATATATACATAATACATATTGAAACATCTCACGAATGTTTAGTAAATAAAAAAAAACGATACATTTTATCCGTGAAGGTCTCACGTGCCTATCCAAGATTCCATAAATTAATAGTTAGGGAATTGTAAGTATTTCTTCTGTTTGGTTTATACTAAAGAAAAGACGTACCTTTTGACAAGTTGCAAAGATCTTTATCACAATGTTTTTGACATGGTGTGTATTTTATATAACTTATTTTTCACATGAAATCCGCCATTTTAATAATATAATATTAAGGATTTTTCAGAATAATTACAATTCGTGGTTACCGATCATCAAGTTAAAGAACCCAAAGGTATGTGAGTATTTTCTTTTTTGTTATAAGTGTTTATGATGTTTGGTTAGTATCTAGGAGCATGGGATGAGCAAAATTGCAATGCTTACAAATCCGTTTGATAGTTGATGTCTAGTAAAGTGTTGTCTGGGAAAGTTTTTAATATTAGAAAAAAAAAGTTATGTTGTTTGATTGTATATCTGACTGACTGTACTGAATGATGAAAAATGATCATATTACCTTGTTATTCTATATTGTGATGGTTGAAGCTGTTGAATAATTATAAAACATACAAATTGACATACAAAATCAAAATTACACGATAATCATTTAAAAATCTAAATATAAATTGTCATATAAAATAATTAAACACAAATCAGTTAATATCCAGATAGAATGTCAATTAGATTGTTTTTAGTTTATTGTTTTTCAAGTTGATGTTATGTTGTTATTCTTTCTAACCATTATAGTTTTTTTTTATAACCCAACGGGAGATTCTTGACCCGATTTATGTTTGATAGTTGTGGGATGGATGATAATTTTTAAAATAAATTAGAATGGTGGTGGTGTTATTAAAAAAAAAAGAATTAATCCAATAAAAAAATGAATTAAAAAAATTAACTAAAAGAAATTAATAATCCAATAAAATAATATTTATTAATATATAATAATCTAATAAAAAAATAATAATCCAAAAAAAAACTATTAAAAAAAATTAATAATCCAAGAAGTAAAGAGACGAAGTTTGGGGCACAGTTGTCTTTTCGGCCTATTCAGCCAGAAAGATATGATTGTGTGGTTTTCTGGGAAAAACGTATCTTAGCAAAAAAGACTCATATTTTATGCAAACCAAACAGTCTTTCTAGTCCATTCAGTCAGAAAGATCTGCTTGGACCTGGAAAGATGTCTATCAAACGAGGTCTCATTCTGAGTTTGTTTTTTTTTTTTTTTTTTTTTTTTTGTTGAACGGCTGAGTTATTATAATAAATAAAACGCTAGTAACAAGCTAGACAAATGAACAGGGATTACACGAGAATTTGATTTGTAAGCAAGAAAAACCTAATTGACAAATATCATGTGATTCTTATGTATAAACCAAGTAAAAGAAAATGAGAGTATACTATCAAAAATAGTCTCTTTACGAAACTTATTGGCACCAAATTATGGAACGCCCAAAAAGATCCAAAAGATAGTCAAGATAACTTCATCAATCGCCAATATTTTCATCTTGGATGTAGACAACACACGAAGCCAAATAAAAACATTTATAACGGAATCCACTCTTTGCGAATCAACTATCCCCCAAGCACCAATTTTACTCCAAACCTGGGAAGCGACCTCACAGTGAAGAAAAAATTAACTTGTTTCCTGATGTAGTAAGCAAATTGTGCACAACATAGACTCCAAATCCACAACTCTATTAACCAAATTTACTCTAGTTGAATTTTGATTAAATAAAATTCTCCAAACCAAGATATGTTTTTTTTTTGGACGCATACTTGTTCTATCTAATAGAATGATTATTTGAAGGAAGTGTGACTTCATAAATAAAAAATCTAAATCTAGTGGAACTAACTGAAAATTTTAATGAGTTCAACCCACAAAGCGTTATCATTTGTAACAAAACTTCAATGGCACTTCTACAAAAGGATCGAATTAAGCGCAACCAAGCTCCCAACCCCAATATATCTTTTTTTCTTTTGAAGCCAACACTGAATTACTTGATCCATAAAACAAATGAGAAAATTGCATACTAATATTACTAATACAAGCACCATGAAAAAGATTGACAACAATAACATCTTTAAAGAGACATGAAGACACTTCACTTCAAGAATGAAAAGAAATGGAGATAAATGATCTTTCTTTCTCAACCCTCTCTCCAACTAAACCAACTAAAGTTGAGGAATCTGACTACCACTAACAAAAATGTAAGACGGAGAAGAAGAAAGACATACACATATTCAACAAATTCTTTTCCCGCCAAAACCCATAAATAGGATAATTTTGTTTCAAAAAAATCTCAACTCAAATAATTGTACGCTTTCTCGATGTCTACTTTGAACACCAACATTTTTTCCTTTTTATAACCACGCCTTTAACTTAAACTCCATTTGCATTTTGAGGAGCATACACATTTCTCATAAAGCACTTCATACTCAAACGAAAGTCACCCTACAAATTCTTAATTTTAATTAAGTCAACACATGTCATTCTAGTCTCTTGAATCTCGAGTATTAACCCCATATTCCATTCGAATCCAACTGATTTTGGGTTTATATTGTAATCTCAACTACAATAACTTATCATGTTTATTATCAGATTAAGTAATTCTCATAATTAATTTTTATATAGAAATATGTTGATGATTTTAAAAACCATAAATGTTAAACCACACCAAAAATTTTATACCTTTGTCTCTTTTTCTTATTATTATCTATAAGTAACAATTTGAAACAAAGGATCAAGACAATCAAACTTGTTTCCATTTTAATTACCCAACCATGCAGTAAACCAAAAGTCATAATAGCAATATCAATAGAAATAGAAATACTTTTTTCCTCATGCAATTAACCAAGTGACAGATGGCAGCCTCCTATTCGTCTTCAGTAATAAGGCATATAACGTGATGGCCTCCTGAACCTCGGAACCTTCCTGCATCAAATTACAAAAACAATTTGCTACTAAGACAAGATTTTCCAAAGTACATTGTTGTAATTAATTAAAAGAAATGAAAAATAAATAAATAAATGAGTGAAGCTAACCCATATCCATAGGGGGAGTAGAAATAAGGAGGAACATATGGCCTCCTAAATCCTCTGTAGCCCATGTAACCATTGAAACGCCTCCCACGAAACTGCTTCATTCCAGGGACATTTGTCCTTTTAGCCATCACCTGTGTAAGGTAGAGGTAGGGGTATTTTCGTCATTTTGACATTTTTATGAAAATAGTGGATTTAACAAAAATGGAAAGGGTACTTTCGTCATTTTGAGTTTAGTACCTTGAGTTGTCTGCCATGTAGCTCAGATTCATTAAGGGAAAGAGCCTCTTGAACAGCTTCAACTTCAAGAAACTCCACATAAGCAAAACCCTTTGGTTGACCAAATTTATCAGTAAGAATAGTCACTCTGTTTACAGTGCCACAAGTCTGAAAATGCTGCTGAACTTCTTCAGGGGTACAAGCGTAATCTACCTGCAAAACCCAATTTTTTAAGTACAAATTCATGAACACTAGCAGGGTAAATGAGTAAATCATATGTAATCTGATGAGAAATAAGTGTGTGTATATGGGATCAAACTTCAAACTCTTAATATATTAACATAATTACTAAGGACAATATTGTACTTTGAATTGTTAGAAAAAGAAAAGAGAATTTAGTTTAAGTGACAAAAATGTATATATCATATGTAGTGATTGCAAACCCCTCACCACTTCGACTCAGTGAGTCAGTTCTAGGAGTATTTGCAGCATCACCATCCACCTTCCAGCAATGAAGCTTCACCTTGACTCACTGACTCAGTTCAAGTGTTCAACTCACCACTGCGACTCGGTTCTTGTTCTCTTGGGGTTTTGAATTGTGCTGTGTTTCCGTATATGCTAACCACATTTTATGTGAATCTTCCATAATTTCTTTTCATATATTCTTTTTTTTCTCAAAATATTCACTTTCAAACTTTTTTTTTTCTGTTTTTCTTTTTTTGATGTTTTTTTTTTCGGGGAAGGAAGTGTAGCATGCTTTTTTTTTTTTTTTTTTTACTTTTTTCATCCCTAATCTATCTTTTTTATACTACACAGACTTCCAAACATGTAGATTCAATTGTGGTAAAAGAAAGCTTATGCACAAACGGACAACTTCCATGTTGATCAATGGTAAAAAGAAAAACTCTGGTGCTATAGAGAAATTTGAATCGCCCTGTGATCAGGCAGATAAAGGTTAAATATATCAAAAGCACAATGAGAAGCATCCTAACAAGCCAAAAAAAAAAAAAAAAAAAGAGGTAAGGAACTTGATGATGGATATAAATAAACGGCTTGTTGTATCAATTTTTTAGAACACCAACACATAAGAGAAACAGAAAGATCAACAAGAAGATAAATGGAAAACTTCATGAACAGGTGTTAAAAAGTAGCCTATCATGAACTGGGCTCCTACGTCAAAAAAATCTAGACAGATTCATATCTCTAATGATACTCCTAGGTGGGGTCAGCTCACGAATTGCTGGAAGAATAACCCTTTTAGAAGCAATTTAGGGTGAAAAAAAATGAAAAAAGTGCAGAGGGGAGTACAAAAGTAACACAGAACTGATACCTAACCTTCAAGGATAAGTGTGAAAATGAGAAATTGGATAAAATATGATTTTGATACTTACATTGCCAACAAATATCGACCTTGTATCCACCTCTTCCTTGCTTGCTTGGCTAGCAGCTGCGCCAGCAGGATCTGTAGACAACCAGAAACAAATAGGTCAAAATTCAGATAAATTGAACATTGTTCGCACACATTCACATACAAACGCGGTTAAGCAAAATTAAGATGTAGAGAAGTCAAATATGGACCTTGAACAGCACCCATTTCCTTTTCAACTTTGGCTTGCATTTCGCGAAGAGCTGCTGCTTCTTCTTCCATCTCTTTCAATCGTTTCTTCATCTCGTCGAGTTCCTGCAGTGATTCGAGGAAAAAGGTAAAGGGATTTTGGACAATAAACACAAATCACATATTTAGGGTTAACGAATTTGAATCGATAGACCGATAAAAATAAAAACCTTGACGGCGTCATCGTCTGCAGTAGCCATCTCGACGTCGGCGTTATGAGGATCGACGTCTCCTTCCATTTCACCTACATCTGGGATGTCTCCTCCGTACACCTCGTGTTCTTCTTCCTCCAAAGCCATCTTCTCTCTCGCTCAGTCTCTCTTACCAATATTCTGCACTTAGGTGGGTGATGTGAACGAGTATACCGTATAAGAAAAAGGCAAAAACCCAAAGTCACGCTTTCTGGGCTTTTGTAGAATGATATATACGAAAAGCCCAAACATATTGTACTCTTTATACGTTCTTTATAGCCATGATTCATGAACACAAACTTAAAAAAAAAAAAAAAAATAATATATTTTTCATTAGGTGTAAGACTTATATATTATATGTGTTAATTAAAAAAATTAAATATAAATGTCTAAATATTTAAGAACTTTTGATTTATAAGAAAATAAGAAAAACAATGAATTATTAAAATTGATTTTTTTTTATCTTTTAAATTTAAATAAATAAGCAAAATAAAACTAATGAACTTTAATTTGGGAATTTTAAAATAAGAAGGTAAGTCCATTAATGAAATTGATATTCATTTATTATTATATTTATTGTAATTATTACATTAAAGTATTATGTGAAATTTATTAAAATAGAAAAACTCATAAAATGACATGTGGAAAAGAAATTAATTCAAAATAACCACAAAATGACATTTGACAAATTAAATAAGAGTGTGACATGTGGCACAAAAATCTTCATTTATTAGGATAGATTTAAACAAAACCAAATAGCAGGTTTCAAACAAATTGGCCAGCTGATTATATAATGTCGCAAATATGTAATATAATTTTTAAACAGTAAAATGACGTGGATATTTTTTAAATATAACTCAATTAGTTAAAAGGGCAAACTAAACCTTTGAAACCCTCGTTGGAAGATGTGGGGTTCAACAAAGGTGGTGTTTAATATAGGTTTTAATTGGGTCCAAATGAGGATTGTGTAAAAAAAAGACCAATTTGACATGTTTGATATTGCTTTTTAAGTATTGGACTCGGTGAATGAGGAAGTACAGATTCGATCATCTCTTCAAAACTGAAGGACCGGGACAAAAGTGCACCAAAACCCACAATTCCCATTTTGCCCTATTTGATATGTCTACATCGTCCCACCTCGTCTTTGTTATTGATCTGATGTCACAGTCTCCGACCACCTTCCTCTGATGTCTTCATCCAACCTCAGCTTTGTTGCCTTCCTTCGACCACACCTCATCGGTCTATTAGGTGCGTATTTCTCAATTTGCTCTTTCGTTTTTCCCATTTTGTTGTTCCTGGCTTTGTATGTCTCTTGAGATTGCTTTTGTGGATGAATGTTTCTATAAATTTGTTGTAATTCAGACACTTGAAGTGTTTAGAAAGATTCATTTAATGAAGAACATCTTGAGGTAATATCATAATTATCTTCTTTTCCAAGAAAATCAATTGAAATTAGTAAGCTTTTTCATAAAAATCATGATGAATACCTGCAGGTTTTGGCAGACACATCATCTTCATCATCATATTTTGCTTGATTTATATTATATTCCACCTTAGAGTAAGGAACAAAATAAAAGAGCTACAACTACAAGCAAGTAAATTTGATAAGTAGTCTGATAGAAACTGTATTTATAATTAAGTAGATAAAGGTATCAAGTTTTCTTTATGGTATATGAGATATAGAATCAGCAATGTTTGTTTACATTTTGGTTACATGATAGCTAATTTTTGCTTCTATGACTCCTGCAATTGACCCAATTAAAGCTATTGTTCACACCATCATCAAGACAATGCTAAAAATATGTAGAACCAACCATTTTGTGCTCCAAGCTTCCACCTTTCTTTGCTAACATGTAACCACTGTGTTATTACTTTTGAAGAATAGTTGTAAATTACATTATTTTGTCCCTATGTTATATGCTTATATGCATCGTTTTTGAAGAATGGTTGTACATTGCATCATATTATAAATTACATGGTAATGTTATAAATTAAATGGTTAATCATAAATGAATTATTATAAAAATGTTGTTTGACGGTAATATAGTCATTTTGCACAGTCACTCAGATGCAAAATCAAACAGCAAGTTTCAATAAGAAGTTAACTCAGTCAGAACTTCTAAGCTAGTCAGCTCTAACCCAATTAGCAACTATCAAATGACCTCATAGTAAAAAACAAACCAACAAATGAAGGGAAATAAGTAGGTTCATACATTATCTTGATGTTGGTAGAGCCCAACATTCCCACCATACACTTGTTCAACTTATGTCCAAAGCAAGCAGTGGGTAATTAGATATCATATTTTTTTCTTACATTTGTGAGTAATAGAATGTTAGTGTTTAAATCTTCCTCGTTGTCATAATGTAGTGATTTGAATTTCCACTTGAAGTTGTACGTTTTGTAAGTTTTAATGTATTAGTATAAGAATAGATTAGCGTGTTTTTTTTTTTTTGTTTTTTTTTACATTTTGAGTAATAGAAGATTAGCGTTTAAATCTTCTAATTGTTGTCATTAAGTAGTGACTTTATTTTCCATTTTAAGTGGTTTTATTGTTTTTTGTAGTGCATATTATTATAAAAACATGGCTTCTTCTTCAAAATCTAATATTACTGAGGAATGAAGCAGCGATAGTAAGATGAAGGATATTTAGGATCTTTAACAGATATTGACTTCATAGGGTCACTATCTTCTGACATAGAAGAAGATATGTTTATAGATGCCCGATATGAGGAAGATGTTGATGTTTTTATGGGGAACACTATAGCACATCCTTTTTGTACTTGTTACAACATTACAATACCAACCATCGTTATAAGGACGATGTTGAATTATTAGTTCTATCAAGGGTGGGAGTATAAGGAAGAGTTGTCTGATGATGCGTTTCAGTTTACAAGCTTGGAAAAGAATGTAAAGGAAGAAAAAAAAAACAAATTGGGGTCGAACATAATATTCACAACCCTATGGTTAATTGGGGAAAAAATGATACCTGAATCAGGGAGAAATATAAGAGTCCTGAACAATTGAAACTTTATGTTAAGAACTATGCAATGGCTAATAGGTATAGTTTACATTTTGCTAAAAGCGATTATAACAGGTTATTGGTTGTTTCTAGAAAAGCAAGTGACAAAATTAAGTGTCCTTATAGGTTGTATGCTTCTTGGATCGGACAAGAAACAACTTTCCAAGTGAAATATTTAAATGATAATCATGGATGTTTAAGAATTTTTTATCTTGGGTCCTTGGTCACTCCTTTTTCAATTGCAGAACACTATGTGTGTAACACTCCAAATCAGGTACACCTTTGAAACCCTTGAAAATGAATTAATTGGCAAAAATGGTCCCTCTCGTACGTTGTGCGTACCTAAGGGTACGCTTAGCGTACTAGGGGAGAAGGATCGCGAAGGAGCCTTGCGTACGCGGTGCGTACAAAAGGGTACGCCGGGCGTACGCAACAGAGGGCCAAAACCCTAAATCTCGGACTTGACACCCTATTTAAACACCTTATAGCCTCTTGGACCAAACCCTATCAGCCTCTTTAGCCTCATTTCGTCCACCTACAGCTGAGATATTGTGTGAGAGGGTTTTGAGCTTAAGGAGTGGGCTTTTGTGGCCATTTTAGAGTTCATTCAAGAAGAGGGAAATTGCTAAGCAAGCTTGGGGTGGTTTGGTGCTTCAAGAATCTGCATCTAGGTCACTTTGCAAAGCTTCTGGAGGTATAAAGTTATGACCTTGCCATCTTATTCATTTGATTTAGCTAGGGTTTTCTAGTTTTGTCCCTTTGGTTGATTTTGGACCTCCACTTGTGAGTTAAGCAACTCCAGAGGATGGAAATGACAGATCTGAGGTCCCTTGGTCCTTTTTCAACATAAAACTGGAGTCTTGGTGGGTGTTTTGACCTCATGCATGGGTTAAGAACCTTAGAAAGGTCTTAATGGGGGTGTTGGGAACATATGAGGCATGCAAAGGCATAAAGTTGCCAACTTTATGCCCTAGGTCGTCTTAATAAACGTAGATCTGACTTTTGGACGTAAAAGAATCGAGTATTAAGCACTTAATGGAAAAAGTGCTTAATCTGTTAGTACGTTAGGCATAACCCAGTGTACGCTGCGCGTAAGTCCTAGAGCCCCAGTACGCTGCGCGTACCAGGGTGGTACGCTAAGCGTACGCATCAGATGGGCTTGGATCTGTTTTGGGCCTTTGATCTGTTGGGCCTCATTTGGTTATTGGACTTGGTTGCATTCTGTGAATAGTGGGCCATTTTATCTGTATTGGGCCATTGGTGTTATGGTAGGGTCTTATTGGGCCAAGAGGCCCATTAATGATTTTTGGTTATGGACTTTGGGCCCATTAACAAAGAAAGGATATTTGGGCCTTCATGGAAGGACTTGGGGTTTGGGTCCCCTTTGATTATGTGATGTCCTAACATGGGTTAATATTATTATTCATCACGAGAGGTTACGGACAGTTAGGAGAGCAGTTTCAGATTCTTCGGACAGAGGTGAGTCTTCTCACCATACCCATGGGTCTAAGGCACCAAGGGCGGCCCATTATGTGATTATGGTATATGTGTTAGTCACTTCTGTGATTTGTTATGCTATGTGATTGTGTGTTATTGCATGGAAGACCCCGGGGGGAGCCCGTGGCGATTGGATGTAAGACCATGTGGGGTAGCCCATGACATTCCTAGGTAAAGACCATGTGGGGTAGCCCATGGCACGAAGGTGTAAGACCCTGGGGGAGCCCATGACATCCTTACAGGTTTATGTATGCATGGCTTATGTGTTATAGGTTGCTTTTATAGCTAACAGGATATGTGATATGTGTATTGTGTGTGTGGTATGCTCTGGGAAACTCACTAAGCATTTAGCTTACAGGTTGTGGATCTGTTTCAGGTACTTCAGATCCCAAGGGCAAGTGCAAGGTGTGATGGGGCAGCGTGCACTCTCTCCCAGGCGTTTTATGGACACTCTGATGTTTGGAATAAAAGTTGTAATTGACATGTGTTTTGAAAACAATTATGAATGGATTTCTGAAAATATGGAAATGTATTTGACTAATCAAAAATGAAAATTTTCTTTGAAAAATTGGGTCGTTACAAGTTGGTATCAGAGCCTTGGTTTGAGGGATTCGGGCACACTCTCGGGTGTGTCAGGACTCAAACTAAGGAAATGGTAAAAATTGTTTTCAAAAATAAAA